ATACTCTTGCATGTATATATACTCTTGGTTCTTCTATATATGTCAACCGGCATGCCTTAACTGTCTCCTCTCGCTGCTTTTGAAAATCATATTACTGCTATCTCTTGCTCTTGCTGCTGCTGCTGCTGCTGCTGCTGCTGCTGTGTCTGCTGCTGCTCCTGCTGTGTCTGCTGCTGCTGCTTGTGCTGCAGTTGAGGAATTGCAACTCCGCTGACGGAGGAGTTGCTGCTGTGTCTCCTGCTGCTGTCTCTGCGTGGGGTAGAGCTTCGTTTGGTTCTGCTGCTGTGGCTGGCTGGGGGGCCCCCCATCGCGCGGGGGGGGCCCCCCCAAAAGGAGACACTTGCTCCCATGGGGGCCCCCCGAAAGGGGACAGTTGCTGTGCGGGGAGCTCAGAGAATAGCCCTGATGGGGGCCCCCCAAAAGGAGACACTTGTTCTCGTGGGGGCCCCCCAAACGGAGACACTTGTTCTCATGGGGGCCCCCCCGCAAAAGGAGACACTTGCTGCCCTGGGGGCCCCCCACCAGGAGACACATATGAAGCAAGGAGACAGCTGGTGGGGGGCCCCCGGCGTTTCTTTAGGTTTAATAGTTTACTGCGGGGGCCCAGCCTGCGGCAGAGCAGCAGCTTGAGGGCCTCGCTGTCTCTGCAGGGGCTGTCTCCTGGGGTGTCTCCGCAGTGGCACTGCATGCGCTTCGCGTGCTCAGAAGCCAGCCCCAAAACAACCGATAGAAACAGCCTGCATGCGCAGGGGCCCCAGGGCCCCCAGGGGCCGCAGGTGTCTCCTCTGCTTGCGGAGACACCACAAACCACACACACACGCCAGTACACACCTGTCTCTCTCTTCGATGAGCTCGCAGCCACTGGTGCAGCGTCTCCGCGTGCAGCTGGCCCCCACACTGCAGCAGCTCGTGCTCGTGCTGCTGCTGCTGCTGCTGCTCAGCAGCAGCAGCAGCAGGAGACAGCTGCTGCTCTGCCAGCAGCTGCGCTGCAGGAGCTGCTGCGCATCGCTGCGCTGTCTCCTGTCTCCTTTGAGGAGCTGAAGGCCAGCGGCCTCAGCGACGTTTGTCTCCTCGAGGTAT